CGGACAATCGAATCCGTCCTGTAAATGGAGAATCGCATGAGATATAGCTGTTACGGCACTTCAGCTGTACATACTTTCTGATACCGGTTTTCCTCTGGGAGAGAAGGATGCATAGAGCAATTGCTACGACGGTATCGACCACCACTCCCGCACCAAAGGCAGTATACAAGACCCACTATCGTAGACGGTGGTTCAGCGGTTGATATACCCCACATGTACGCGCATTGACGGACCGAGATTTGCCATAGTTCGGTATACGTGCCGAGCTGCCAGCTGCCCAGAACAAGCTGCGTGAGTGCTCACTTGAATGAGCGGCATTTGAGCTTGTATTACTCACCCTCGTACGGTGAAAGCTGCGGGCATCACGTTAGTTATGCCCACATCCCTCGTGTTTTCGCAGGATCGGCTTACCGATGCTGAAGCCTGCGAATGTCCCATGCTGTCATCAGAGCCCACGGTACCGACGAAGTGAATGATGCTCACCAAAGACCACGAATGTTGGTATGATCTAGTGTCATAAGCTAATCTATGCTGCGAGCGTTGTCATAAAAGTAGGAGTACATACGATCGTCGCCAGGAGCCACGTCCTTTGACCACTAACTTGGTGAGTGAGGGTGTACGTCAGGCTCCGGAACAGGTCTGAGCAGAGATCGCTACATACATCTGTATACCCGGTACGCAAATACCCTATCAATTTGGTCAGCAACTACGATGAGGTACAATATATGCCTAAACTCACCCTCTAACCAGAAAGTCGCTCACGCCCTGGAAACTAGCGTTCAGAATGCGCACGGCGACGGGCGTACTTGGAAGTAGAGAAGCTTTACCGTCACCGCTACATGAGCCTGTGTACGTGAGTCAGTATCCTGTCCAGGAGAATTGGCTGAAATGGGTGTACCATTATACTCCTGGGATGATTCGTAAGAAAACGAGACAAAATTCTGCAAAGTACTACATACCACGTCACTCTGATGATCGCCAGGGGATCATTGAAGTTGGTGACCGTGTAGAAATACATCGTATGTGAGATCAGTACGAGGTGCAGCGTATCTAGGGCCCTGATTGCTCCCGTCAGTGGGGAGCAAAACCAATCGCTTAAATTGCTTACCATAGTATGAAAACCTATTTTATGCTGTCAAATAGCATGTCAGCGGAGCAGATAATGATGGACAATTACCAGAGCTCTCAGTAGTCCGGTATCATTGTTGCGTTCGTAGTACGAGTAGGTTTGAAGATTGGTCACGCCGTAAAGTCTACTCGCGCGCCCCACATGAGAAGCGTCGAGCTGAGATAAGAGATCGCACATACGTGGCCGCTACGATGTTGCCTACCGAAGGCGAGCACTGATCAGTGCCTGATATTGATCATAATATTGAACATACCGATATACGCCGCCCCTAGCGTGCTATCAAGGGGTGGCAGCTGTAGTAAGCATTGCGTCTCCATTTACGCTCATTCGTGGACCAAAAGGACAGTGAGGTGGGAGGGAAACCGCTCTGGTGACCACCGCCAGGTTCCTTATAGAGAGGCTGAAATTGTAGATCCCAGCACATGCACCCTCGTCCCGAGGAAAGGTTAGATAGAGATCTGGTGAGAATACTAACGTCGTACCGGAGAAGTCCACTGCGGATTTTCCGCACTACAACACGGGCGTGGGATCGGCTTGGACAGGTGTAAGGCGGAGCCTGTAGGAGCCGTGTAAAAGTGTCAGTGTACCTTTCCAGATGCCTTAACCGGTACCGCGATTCTCTGGACGTCATGCGGGCACAGAGGGTATATCGGGCGAGTTGAGACGATATAGTCTGCAGCTGTTCTGGGATGCGAATGCGGAGCTACACCGGCATAAGGAGGTGAACGTTATAACCTTACTACAGGATGGGCGAAACTGTCGTTAACGGAATAGTGACGCCGAAAGAACGCGAACCTCTCAATTGCATCGTGTCCTTCTCTCCGGCAATGATCCAACGTGACATAAAGGTGCCGTGGAGTACTATTCATATAAACTTGTAGGACCACTTGTAAATTACAGAAACGTCGGTCGGAACGTCGCAGCGCATGCGACCCACGGTCGGGTGTCGGGCAGCACTGTTCGCCAGTTGCGAATGTGTCTGCAGTACGGACCCTGTGCAACCCATAAGTGCTATCAGTCTCACGATAGGCGGTTACGATACAAGGTACTCACCAGGGTAAAACCGCCTTGCTTTAGTGCCCTACGGCAGCTTCTCTACTTTGAATTTGAAGATCACTTACCAGTTGCGAGTGGGCTGTTCAGCGCTATGCCAGTGGCCGCGGCGTACATAGAGAGGTCAAGGGTGAGAGTTGTGGTTGGCATTCTGCTACTTACAACTATGGTACTGGCATACGTTCGGTTTTGAGTACAACCCAAAGCGGGGAAGACTGTGGTGTCCTGCCAGGCATAAACGGCTAGCAGCTGTAATATTGAAACTAAAACCTCTACACAAAAGAGAGTGTTCACTGAGAGCGACAGTGCTTACCGAAACCTACAACGCGCATCATGTTCGTAAAACGTCCATCGATGGGCTGTTGGTGATGATGACAATGTTACCGACTCCAGTTCGAGTGAACAACCGCGCCGAACAGAGTACTATGTGATCTGGCCATCGACCTACACGAATATGCGATCAATTTATGCATGCCGTCGTAACCCTATAGCGAGCTGAGTTGCGTGGCAGGATGCTCAGGAGACAGAGCGCAATTGTGGCCGGTGGCGATGAGAGACGGTGTTTGGTTTTGTGTCATCATCACCCAGGACGTAGCGCCCGCAGCATCTCCTCCCAACCTTGACCAGCCTCCACGACCACCGATTCCACGAACCTTTCTGCCTAGCGCAGATATTTAACAAAGAGACCTCACAAACCTGATACGGTGAGCAGCTACAATGAATCCGACGATTGTGTAACCACAAAAGCTCACAAATGCCCACTTCCGCGGTTAACTCAAACTAGAACTTGACGCATTCATAATGTACGCCATGACCGTTTGGATATTTGCACCCTGAAGCTGAACATCTGCGATGACATTCACACTCAGGTCGGAACCCTACGACCCGTATGTCCCTCGTACTGGCGGCGCTCCCGGCGGTGCCCCTCCCACGGCTGGCAACTCCAAGACTGCAGCCATCCAACAACAGATTGATGATACCGTCGGGATCATGAGGGAAAATATCACAAAGGTGGCGGAAAGAGGAGAACGTCTTGACCAATTGCAGGACAAGACAGGTGAGTCGTACGTTTTAGCTGTGGGTGTGGAGCCGCCGGGACTATGGGCGACTTCACGTCTCTAGAGTTGGCACTGGATTGATCATTGCGTCTAGACAACCTCGCTGTGTCTGCGCAGGGATTCCGTCGCGGTGCCAATCGTGTCCGCAAGGTACGTGAACGATTGTACTTGTATGCAATCTGTCCTGAATTCATCACCTCCGTTACTAGAACATGTGGTGAGTATTATCAGTCCGCGAGACACTTTTCTCTGCTCACAGGATGTTTCCTGCATAAAGGTGGAAAGACATGAAGGTGATACGCTGTCTTCCGTGCACAACCGGCTCTTGTTCTGACCCTTGACTCGTTCAGATGAGAATCATAATTGGCGTCGCAATTGCCGTCATCATCGTCATCATCGTTGTATCTATCGTGAAGGCGACACATCACTGAAAGCAGTTGCCTTTCCCCTTGACCTCCTCCCTTTTCCGGATTGCGTCCTCTTCGCCGATGTGGGCGGATTTGTCTTCCCACCCGTGTTGTATCTATGCGCATACTATAATCTTCCCTGGATCGTAGCTACTTGAAATTCTGAAGAGGGCCATACAGTGAAGGCTGATACAGTGGACGGTGCGCTTCTTGCTGCGTTGTGGTCCGTTGGATTATGAGGGTTGTCGTCTTCTCCTAATCCCCCCTGTCTGCGTACTTTTTTCTTCTCAAGTTACTCAATGTACAACAGGACGTGCAACGGGAACTGTACATAGCAAGTCGTCTGCATCTTTGCTGCTGAGACCAATTGTGACTTTGAGCTGAATTGCGCGTCTGGGTTCATGCTTGTTATCAGCGCAGTCTCTTGGCTTGTTCCGCTACACCCATCTTCGATGCACCACTAGCCACATAGACATTCTGAGCTCAGCCGCGTGAGGAATGCAGCCGTTGGAATGAAAGCGCAAAGTCCTACGTTATGGGGCAGAAGCTCAGGTCCAGAGATCTCCCAGTCGTCAGCAGAGGTAAGCGGAGGCTACACAGGGTACCATCCGTGAGTAAACCAACCTCTTTACCGTCACCAAAGTATGAATTCACTGCGTTTGGGTAGTGTCACTCTGTCGGCTGACAAACCGAGCGTAGCAACAGGATACTTCGTCCTTTGCGTCTCAGTAGTGTTCCTTCTCGTTGGTGGTTGGGCGACGCTGTTCAGTGCTTTCCTTCCTCGTACGAATTGCTGGGTGAGTTCTTTGATCATTGCATTCTGTCAACTTGTGTTCACGGGCAGCATGAACCAGGTCATAGATATCATCGCAGAGGATACACATTACAAGTATCTTATTCTGTTGCTGGTCCCCACCACAGCCTATTTCGTGATCGGCAACTGGGTCGGCTGGCAGTTCTATAGTAACTCATGAATATATGCCCTCTTCAAGTCGAAAATGGCAGATGGTGCGCGTCTTGACCAGCCCAACGAACCGTGCGCCGCCTTCCAGGAGCTGACTGCCCCCCAAAAAGCGCGACTCTAAGAGACGAATAGTGGGGTTCCCGGAATGCTCAGGGTTTCTCAGACGCATCTGCTAACGTGTGCAAGAACTACTCTTAAAGGGTTGCCGGACCAACCACTTCGAAGGAAAACCCTCCTCTAAGGGTGACCATGACCGCTCCGTCTTAACCAGAATGTCATAAGAAGCGCAAAATTATATTCTTCCGATATGCTCCTGTGTGCAATGTTTACTCAGAAATACAACGGTGACGTGCCTCGGGCATAATGTTGTTTAGCAGTACATGTGTCAATCCGATATGGTGTAACGGCTAACATTGCCGCCTTTCAGTACATCAACGCGGCAGCTCGGGGTTCGATTCCCCGTATCGGAGTTTTCAGTTCTGTTTTATATTTTGGTGTATGTTCCACAGCATTAGTACTGTGACTCGGACACACGACGCTGTGCAACCACACTGTGCTGAAGAAGTAAGTCGTCCATCAGACCTGCATAGATGGATTTTTGCCAACTGCGCCCGTTCGCGCAATTTCAGCGCAAAGATTTCACATAGCTTAGGGCGCTCCGCAAGCCACACTTTGGACTACAGGCCAACCATGCTCGGCAAAAGAAAGGAGAGAGAAGAGGAGGCATCTCCAGAGCAATTGCACGGGTACGTCGAGGTATTAGCACTACACACTGCATTCGTACCTAATGAAGCTTCTGTGCGAGCAGTTCTACCATCTTCGTCTCAAATTTGCCATACTCAGCGACGTCCACGGATTTGAAGACACTGTTCTCTGACATTGGCCCAGTACGCTCAGCCTTTGTAGTGCTTGACCAAGGGACCGGTACTTCGAAAGGCGTTGGCTATGTCTCATTCGCTATTCGTGAAGATGCACAGCTCGCGATTAAGAAGGTGAACGAAGGCAACGAAGGGATCACGTTGGATAAACGGGCTTTGCGCGTGCAATGGGCAGACACCAAGGTGCGTTCCATAGTCCTGTGATACAAAAAAGCTCATGAACTCGCCACAGCCTCATAAGGACCGCAATGTAAGGGGTGTACAAGAGCTTGTACCAAAACAAGAGCGCGTCAAGTCGAAGCCTTCAAAAGCTTCTCATCCTGTCGGGCCCAAGGATCCTCTCGCAATTCGGACAATTGTTGTCTCCGGTCTGCCTCCCGGTATAGACTCAAAGGCATTGTGGAAGAAAGTTCGCAAATACGAAGGCGCAGAAAAGGTGGAGTGGCCTGCAAAAATAAACGAGTGCGGAGATATCAGCACCGGTAAGTCCTCGAGTTCGCCCACGGTTCTCAATCTGACTTGTCCAGCTCATGTCCTGTTTTCAAATCCGAGCACCGCTCAAGAAGCTGTTACCAAGCTACACGCTCATGTCTTCAAGGGTGCGCTTCTCTCCGTGACTCTGAAGAAGCGTCTCGATGGTCTCGCGAAGCCGGCCAAGTCAAAATCTCACAAGACGGTTGTCATGCCAGAACAGGATGGCCCCGCCCCAAGTCGTGCCAGCCGCCTGATTGTGAGAAATTTGCCGTTCGATATCACGGAACTGGACCTCCGAGCTATCTTCCTCCCATACGGTCCTATACATTCCGTTCATGTCCCGCTCAAAGAACCAGAGCCTAAAGACGAAGGGTCCACCAGTGAAATACAACACCGAGGCAAAGGTTATGCTTTTGTGTGGATGCTTAGCAAGAAAGACGCAGAAAAAGCTCTAGAGGGTGCGAACGGCAAGAAGGTGCGCGCGGGGCTGGCGGATGGTCTAGTCAGACACAAGCAGCTGAAGAAGAAACTAAGGCGAGAGGAAGCGAAATTGGCGCAGAAACAGAGAGCGCGCAAGGCCAGGGGCAAGGAAAAGGAAGCGCAGGAAGAGACTGACGATGAGGCAGAGCACGACGGCAAGGACGCAAGTGAGGAGGAGCTGGTGGAGGACGATGAGGCGGATGCTGTTGAACGGATAATCGCAGTTGACTGGGCACTGAGTAAGGACAAGTGGGAGGAAGCTAAGGCGAAGCTGCAGACCGAGCAGAAAGCAGATGCGGAGGAGGATGGTGAGGCAGAGGCCGACTCGTCTGAAGACGAAGACGAAGACAGTCACATCGGTGTACACGACGGATCAGGCGACTCCAGCGGCTCTGATAGTGATCACGATGAAGACTCAGATGACATGGATGAGGAAGGTAAAGTAGGAAAGCCCCAACTTCCACAGACAGATACAGGTACTACCCTGTTTGTCCGTAACATCCCATTCGAGGCCACCGAGGATGAGCTAAGAACGATGTGAGTTGGATACTTTCTGCCTTGCCTTTGCATAATGCTCATAGTGTTGACCGCCCGTTTTTGCAAGATTCCGGGCTTTCGGGCCTTTACGGTACGCACGCATTACAATAGATCGTGATACAGGCCGATCTCGAGGGACTGGGTTCGCGTGTTTTTGGAACAAGGAAGACGCTGATAAAGCCATCGCACAGAGCGATATCCTGCGCCAGGAGACAACTGGCAGCGAAATTACGCAGGTATGCTACAATAGCTGCTGACCATAGAAACCATACTCATGCATTCACCCCTAGCCCAAGAAAAATCCTTTCAAGCTTCCGTCACTTTTGACCCCGGATCCTTCAGCGTCGGTCGCCAAAAATTTGGTTCTGCATGGACGGACCTTGGATGTTATTCGCGCTGTCACCAGGGACGAAGCAGGGAAACTAAAAGAGGCCGGCGAAAGGCAGCGGGAGAAAGCTGACAAGCGCAACCTGTACCTGCTCAGGGAAGGAAGTACGTCTGTCCACTGTTGTATAGCGCTGCGATTCTCAACACTTTACAGTCATCCTGCCCAACACTCCCGCAGCGGAAATTCTTCCACCAGTCGAAGTGGAAAAACGAACGACGTCTTTCAACGCTCGTCGAGCCTTGCTGCGGACAAATCCGTCGCTCTACGTATCACGCACCCGGCTCAGCATCCGACAGCTTCCGCTGTTCGTAACAGAACGTATGTTGAAGCGTCTGGCGATACACGCCATCCGTGCCTTCAAATCTGAAGTGAAGGCTGGGACCAGAGCCGCACTGTCAGAGGACGAGCTCACTGAGCCTGTGCCAGATGCCGATAATCCTGAAGTGGACACACGTCGTGGTTTGCAGGGAAAGTCGACTGGCAAGCACGGGCGGAGCACCGGGGTACAGCAGACGAAGATTGTCCGTCAGCAGGACCGGATTGACCCAGTGACCGGCAAAGGACGAAGTAGAGGGTACGGTTTCCTGGAGATGGAGAAGCACGCCGATGCACTTCGCGTGCTCCGCTGGGCCAACAACAACGTTGAGGTCGGCAAGCTGTTCACTGTCTGGTGGAAAGAAGAGCTTGAGGACCTTGTGAAGCTTGAGAAGAAGAAAGAAACAAAAGAAGTTGGTAGGCTGGAACGGTTGAAGCAGGAGATTGAAATCGGCTCGGACAAGAAAACGAGGGGTACGCTTATAGTCGAATTCTCGATAGAGAATATCCAGGTCGTCAAGAGGCGTGTGGCTCATCAACAGGAGCAGCGTACGGTACGTGCTGCATATTTTGTTCAACTCGCAGAACTAACATAGATCCGCAGCCTGGCGACGGAGAGAAAACTCAACGGAAGAAATCTTCTTCTACCGTCAAGCAAGAGGACCACGACGGACCGAAACCTAAGAAACGACGCACATCTGAGCAGATCGCTGTACCTTCTGCCAAAGCCGAGACACCAGCTAATCAAGTTGGATTGCTGATCGGCCGGAAACGGAAAGAGAGAAAAGCTAAACGGAGTGCGTGAGCTCTGTACTGGGGTCTATCTTGAATGGAGACAACATACATTCAGGCTAGTTAGGTGGTGATATATGTCAAATCTACTACGTAATTCCATGCTAAGGTACGATGCAGTGGGGGATAGAGTGCGACGGAGCTTCCAACGAGTAGTGGGAGTACAGGGTATATCCAAAAGCAAGGGTAACATCGATGCATGTAGCGAACTAAAACAACAATGCGAATTGAGACTAATGTACTAGATAAACAAATGATAAGAAGGAATAGTCCAAAAAAATCGATAAAAAGGCCATAACGATATCTTGCGAGGAATGAGTGTAGGAGGGACTTATTCTTCCTCTTCTTCCTCTTCCTGAATGGCAACGCGGAACGCTTGTCCGGCACGAACAGTGGGAAGCTGCCGCCTGCCTCCCCTAGCCTCAGGAGGTGACTCAAAGGGCTCTCCTGGCAAAGGAGAGTTTCGTCCAGCGGAGGAGCGGGGAGCGGTTTTGCTCCTTCCAGTCCTGTTTCCAGAAGTAGTTGAGCTTGATCCTCCGCTGTTGCGCTTTGACGACGGAGCAGAAGACGCCCGTGTGACATGTCCGCGAAGAGGTGGAGAGACCATAGGAGATTCAACCGGTAGGAATGGGTTCGATGATGCAGCCAAAGTCGGCATCTGACCAAGACCGCCAACGTAGCCAGAGCCGTCGTCATCCTCGTCTACCCAATCCGACTCATCCCCTGGACTAAGTGACTGACGTCCTGTAAAGACGTCGCGGATGCCTGTAGTACTCGCTGCAGGCGAAATGGCAAGAACTTCAATGGTTGATGCCTGAGCGGTACGCGTCTGCCAACCCGGTGGTTCCATACCCCATGACTTCTTCCAGCTGGATCGTCCGAGAGAATGCAAATAACCGCCACCACCGCCATGATGGTTTCCAAAAGGAGTTTGTCGCTTCTGGGCCACAAAAGTCGTGGGACCGTTTCTTCTAGGAGTATCTTCCAAGGGACTTCTAGGATACGGTCTGGTTGGAGTACCAACTCTGAGGCCCTCTGATTCGGACAGCTCGTAAAGCGAGCCTTGGCGTGAAGAAGCCAATGAATGATTCGATGAGGCGGAATTTGACCTTAGATGAGATTGTTTATAAGGAGTTCCTTGGGAGGATTGTCGCACCACCCTGGTGGAGGATCCAGATCCGGCACGTCGATGACTTTTGGGTAGAGGAGATGTCGTACGACCGTGGTACCATGAGCCGTTCGAGCTCGCCGACGGTGATTTGCGATGACGAGTATGCATCGAAAAGCTATGTACCGATGACGGACGAGACTCAGAATTCGGTGTGTGTGCACCAAACGACCTTCGACTGGGATCGCTTCTCTGCCGGGTCACAGGTGGCATTGGATCCTGGAATGAAATTGACTCGTATAGTCCCATCTGAGTCGAAGTGACTGATGATCTCTTCGAATTCACACTACTCGAGCGCCGGGATGACATTGAACCTCGTTTAGCTCGATTCGCAGCTTTCCTACTAGCAGCAAGTTTGGTACGACCGATAGTGCGCTGCTTCATTGTACCCCTTCCGCGACCGGTAACAGGACTTGAGCTAGGAGCTCCGGGGACCTG